TTTTTACAATGTCCGCATGATGCTTACACCATGCAGTAAAGGCATTCTGTCGTAGGTGCAAAACTTAGGTTGCTATGGTGTTGAGAAATAAAAAATTTCAAAATTATACCAGATCAAATGAAGTGCTTTTCGAGTCCATCTGACAACTATGAAATATGGCACATGTTTCCTGATGTGTTTGCTAATGGATTTCTTCTATTGTGCAGTGCCCAAACTGCGGGAATGATTTTCAAATTTTCAGGTAAGAGCAATGGAACCTTGTTTAAGAACAAGATATGAATCCAGGTGGCCTGATTATTTCTGTTAGTTAGTTATAGCATTGATTTTCATTCACCCAGTGCAGGTCTACTTTAAATGATGAGGTTCAACTTTGCCCTTTCTGTACTCAGCCATTCTCAGGTTAAATTTCATACTCTAAGTTGGCTTGTCTCCCTTTTATTTTGACAACTTTCTCATAGCTGATCGATCGATAGCATTCGTGTTTCTTTTAGTTACCACTATTCTTCCCAGTTCTCGCGTTGGTTTTCAGGAGAGCTGATGGGAAATTGCATATGTTTTATTGTATTTTATTCTGTAACCTTATGTTATTAGATATCTGAAGGGAGTGCTGTCACAATCTCGTGGAGTTGGGCCTCTTTCCAAGATTTTTGCATTACCAGTATATTTCTCATCATGTATGCACCTTATAAAGCAGATGTGGGTATTATTTTAGTTGGTGGAATGGGGGGTAAGGAGCGGTAAACAAGACAAGCCAAGTCTAATAGATAGTTTATTCAATTTCAGGAGAAATTTTATAATAAACTTTAGTGTTGTGTTCAAACTTGGTATCATTGGCCATTAACACATGAAGCAGTTCTCTAACACGGCTTTTCTACACACTGAATACAGTTCATTGCTTTGTCAATGGACTTTGAGCCTGAGCTCAATTAGCTAAGGAATATCAAATTTCGTCCAATTGGTTAGTTATTTTCTGAAGGAACCACGGAAAAGATTTATCAAGAAATTCAAGTATCAAATAGCGTGTTTCATGTGTGGCATGTACCGTTGTTTACCTTGCTTTTCTCCACCTCATAATCTTAGTCCTTTGTCTAAATGCATATATGCGAGTTAGACTATCTATGTGGGCTTTTTGCATTGCAGTTAGGCTTACTGCACTGATCTCCCACTCCTAGATTTCGTAAGGAGAACTTCATGTATTTCTCTTCGTTGCCTTAAAATTATCTTCTCTCCATCGATGTCCTTTGAATCCTTGGAGTATATACATGTTTGATATTTTCAATGGTGATTAAAAGTGCACTTGGATACAGCAGTGCCATCAGATGTTGCTACCTTTAATTAATATCTTAAGCTATGTTGCGTGGACTCTCCAAAAGACTGATGCACCTGTGTTGGATCCTCCAAAAATACACTACTTTATCCGATACGCACCTAGCGATATTTTCGGAGAGTCTAAGCAACATAGATCTTAAGAGTTGTTGGATATGTTTGACTTTCGTTCTGTTATCTTGATCTTTCTCGGTGTAAATTTTGAATTTTGTTTTTCAATTCAAGTCTTTGTTCAAACATTGATGTGGGCCATATCATGGTAACTGATCCAAGCTAAGCTTGTTATTTGAGATATTCCATGCATCATCTTTATTAATGAGTTATATTGATGATCATCTTAACTGATGAGTTATTCTACACATCATCTTTGAGCTAAATAAGTTTATATCTGCAGTTGTTGGCGATGAGTTCGTGAGAGATCCAGTAAAGTTCTCTAACCAGTCAAACACATTTGGTCAAGCATTCAGTGATTTCAGTGCTCGTTCAAAGAAAGGTATGCATTTTTCTTACCCTTCTTTTTTAAAACATTTACTGGTTAGGATGTTTTTATAAAGTGTAACCGATTGATCTAAACCTGGTACAGAATAGGGAAATAACAGTCTATTCATTTCGTGGTTTTTTTTTGTTTTGGAGATCGTTCTTTTAACGAGTTAATGCTGCCTCTCCCCTAATGAGCTAAACTTTTGCAGTTCTCCTTCTCTAAAATTTAGTCAGAATAAATAAATATGAAAATGGATTCTTTCAAGGAAGAAAACCCATTTTTTTCTAACTTTCCTGGGATCCTTATGTGCTCTATTAGTGTATTCAAATCCCTAAGATTAAAGCCTTTTCTAAAACTTAAGTTTTAGCAATTGAAAACATTACAGGGAAGCTGCTAATCTTTGCTTTATTAGATACAAACTTTGTAAGAAGTAGTTTGTTATTCTTGTGGGGAATGTGGGACTTCCCCACATCGGTGGCCTAAAGCTACTTTATGGGCCTTCTAAGTTCTTGTCCATTTTATATATTTGCTTAAGAATACACACTGCTTTATGGGCCTTTTAAGTTATTGAATTTAAAATTCAAATATACAGACACATTTGTTAATGAAATAAAGTGACTTTTCGGAAAAGGCCTGATTTTTGCTCTATAAATAAACGTGAGATTCCCTACAAAGGGATTAAGGAAAATCTACAAATATCAAACAGTGGCTTGTAGTGGCTTGTTGTATCCTGAAAAAGATTGTCTGTATTTTTCCCAAATCTGTATATGGGCAATAATTTCTGTAAGGAAAGTCGTTCTCACGCCTCAAGCCTTCTCAATCTCGTTTTTCAATCACTGCTTTCTAACAAAAAGGCTTTGAGATCACTATGCTAGACTATGGATCAACTTTCTCATGCTTATTTACTTTGAGTTTCTCTTGAAACAAAAGGAGCCTCTAGTTTTTATTCTTCTGGATAGGATATGATATTCAGACATTTTATATTTTTTTAGAGAAGAGAGTGTTATGCAATTAGTAACTATCTTTGAGTGAACATTCCTTCTAAATCCACCCCCTTCCCTTAGTGGGACACGTATTTTGGGAGGTTGATCGTGGGGACATAAGGATCAGGAAAAGCTAAAAGGCTTCACGAAGCCTAAGATTTCAACCAAGCATTCTTTTGTTTTTCTCATTGTAAGTTTCTGTCTGAGAACATTTTTAGCATATGCTTCTCAGAGATAATCTTCCAAACGTATTTATTGGATAAAGCTAAAATAATCCTCATAAGAAACTTCATTTAACCGCTAGACGGTGGAATACTGCCAAAAGCTGTGCAACTTTTGATCATCAGAGGTTTGAATCAGGATCCAATGGATCCCTCAATATCTAGATTAGAGACTACGTCACCTCATGTAATTACTTTACAGGTAAGGATTCCACTATCGGAATTGTTGATATTGAAGCAGAAGTTAAGGACGCGGAGTAGGCAGTGGTCTCCAGTGATACAGTGGCATATGGTAAACCACTTAGCTTTATTTTGCCTATGCATGTGATCCACAACACACTTCAAGGGAAAATTTAGCTACTTGTAAAGATATATGTGCATTAGAGAACAAATTTGTGTCTCCGGTTTTTATATATTTGAAAAGAAATCCTTGAAGAAAGATCCCATGCACAAACATTTTGTTATTTATCCATATATTGTCAGTGTAGATACAATGTCTAGAATAAGGACAGCCCGGTGCACAAAGCATCTCGCGTTCACGCAGGGTCCGGGGAAAGCCCGCACCCCAATAAAACTATAAAAATGTTCGAACAGGGTGTACAAGCTGTGTTTCTTTAAAGAAAGTCATTTCGATATAGTCATATTCTGTCCGTCTTTATCTGATGAAACCTTGTTCTGTGCATCTTTGCCAATCCTCGCTTGGGAGGGATTTGCTTCAGAATTGATCCTTTTATTGTGGTTATAATTCCGGAGTCTTTAAGCTAGCTTTGTATTGTTTGGGTGCTGGGTACAACATTATTTGCTATAAAATTATATGAGCATATGCACCCTACGAATTTAGGAAGGAGATATATGTTTTAGCAGCCCTTTCATGTCATGTATGAGGATGCTTCTTTTTCTTCTTTCAAAGATATCATTAGGGAGTATGGGGAGGCAGCAGCAGCAGCTGAATAGGAAGAAGACCAGAGAATCCCACGTTGGTATGAAGAGAAAAGCTTCGGAGGCACTATTCTTATGAAATACCGAAGAACACCACATTCAGCATAGCTTATCATGCATGGCCCTACATAGCATACAGTCGGCAAATACATGGTAAACGTATTATAGAATGCTGCTGATAATGTTAAAGAAAGTGGTGATACAATTATACTTGATTGTAGTTGCCCCATCGTATACCATAACATACAGAAGCGTGTATTCGTTATTCCCTCGTCATGTAGATAGCATGGGTTGGCATTTTGTAAGAACGCGTTCTTGCTTCTCATCAGGCGAGGTGTTGATAGGTATTTCTTAATGTGACTCAGTTGTATTTCGTAGTACAATATTTTCTTTGACTTGGACGGTTTTCATTCCTTAAATCTTCAATTCCATAGCTGTAAATGGCTGATTGTATTTATAGGTAATGTCTCTTCAAAATATGTAAGCTCTGGTTATAGAGATTAAACAGGTACCTTGGTAATTTTCTCAAGAAGTAAAGCTCCGTTTGTATTGTGAGGAATTGAAAGAATTGCATTAAAAAAAAAAAATAGGTTTTACGAAACCTTTTTGCTATATAAGATGGAGTCTACGTAATATACTGCTCTTCTGAACAGTATAGATTTGTTAAGTTAAGCAAAGGTACATTTGCGAGCACTAGTTCATTTTCTAAACGTTGTAAAGCTTACCTTTGCGTAAACCACAACTAAAACCGTTCCATATTTCCACCATCATATCACATAATACCAGCGTCTCATTTTCAGTTTTCTGTAATTTGTCTCCTTCAATAGCTAGAATTGTAAGAATACATCTCCCAAGGTCTAACAAGCATGAATGTAGGCACCAAAAGCACGACGGAAGCAAACAGCTTGATGAATCAAGTGAGCTTGGTGCATCTATGAAGCTCCTAGATTATTTATTCCCAGCTGTTGAGCTACTATCATGCTACTCGATTCATTAAGCTCCATCAAACCAGGTCTAGGCATCCGAATTTGTTAAAATGACAAAGAAATGGAATGAGAAAAAGCAATGTGGCTTGTCTCCTCAACATAATCATGGTCATTATGCAAATGAATAACTAAATTTGTTTCAAAAGAAAGAAACACCACAGACTTAGTAAGCAGAGAGTTTTTAAATGGGCTGACATTCTACAAGGGGAAAAAAACATAGCTAGTTGTCCAGCATTTCATGTGCAATTCAGTCCAATAAGAGAAGTGGAGGAAATGGAGGGAAACCATTTAACACTAATGGCCAAAATTTAAGACCGCAGAGCCCTAACAGCTGCTTTATTCAAGGAGATCAGAGAGACACATCCACTGTTAGTGCGATCCTTCACCAACTTTCTGCCATGAGATGAACCAAATCAGCAGATAATAGAGAGAGAGAACATCATATTTCAAGCAGTCTAAGAATAGATATTTCAAAGCAGTCTGTTCAAGGTGAAATGTCCATATACACTGTGCACATGATGAGATGTTTGCTAGGTTCAGTTAACTCGCATAATACCTTTTTCTTCATAAGTGAAGTAAGATTTAACTACCATATACTAGTAAAACCATATGGGCAATCATTTGGTCTTTTATTATTATGTCAATTCTTTTTCAATTTTCAATCAGCTAACAGCGGGCAAACATAGATAAAATAATGGGTCTTAAAATATTATATAGGTTTTTTTTGATAAAGTATTACATAGGCATATAAAATGGACATATAGGAAATAATGACACCAATTAGAGATCATAGTAGAAATAGAAAGTTAAAATATATGCTTTAACATTACCAGCAACAACAAAATATTTGAATGAAGTTGTTCAACGTGAAAAGAAGTGTACCTCTTCCTTCTTTTCTTTGTTTCCCTTTGTGAAGAGCTTATAACCTCCGTAGAAGGCCAATCCCCAACCGGTAAGAGAGACGATCACAAACTACAAGGACCAAATTAAGTTCCTAATCAAACATCAAAGTGTATCAAGTGCAAGTGCACTATCTATTAGTGCTTGTGATTAACGGAGAGACTACAAATTCTAATTCTGAGTTAGACTTGTAACAATATAAAGAGTAATCAAATTACACAAACGTTAAAAAATAGTGATATAGCAAATCCTTTCCTGTTAAATGCACAAATATGGCAATTTAGCAAATCATCTCCTGTTATACCCACAGATGTTATCGAACCCAATTGGAAGGATTTCTAGTCAGTGAATTATTGAAGTTACGGCCCAAAACATTGGTGACTCACAACTGGAAGCCAAAGTTCTCGAAAAGTATGGATTTTGTCAAATCTAATGTGCACTAATATTGAAAGGATACATACATGAGAATATATCTTTAGAAGAGGTAAAACATCATTCCCAATGAGTAGTAAGAAAGAAAATTATTTCTCACAATCACAAGTGAGTAAATACTCCATATACTCTTCTGGATCCCAAATTCATAAAGAGAACCACAATCCCCACCTAAACTTGTTGTCAACCATGTATAAGCTATGTTACTCGGACTCTCGGGAGATGTTGTCGGGTGCGTGTCCGACCCTCCAAAAGTAGTGTATTTTAGGAGGATCCGACACGTGTGAGGCAATATTTTTGGAGAGTCCGGGCAAAAGTGACCATTAAAATAGTTCTCTATCTGACATCTTACATTCAAAGTTCCTACTATTACTAAAGTACTCCTTTAGGAAAAAGTTACGGAATGCTTGGGTAAAAAACTCACAACAAATTTTAGAAGTTTCAATTCAAACGTCAAGCAAGCCGATAATGCCAAAGCCAACAAACAAACATAACAGTTTAGACAAGTAGAAAAGACATTGCAAAGGTCTGAAAGACTCACGTGCTCTTCTTTCCATTTTGATGGACTCATCGGATCCTGCCAAAAGTTCACCTTTGGAGGTCCATGATGATCTGCATCAAAAAGAACAAATATTACTACTGCTAGTTATTTCAACTTCCAGTATTCCGTGTCCATGAAGAACACCATTACAAACAAATCCCATGGGTACTATGATTGCTTTTACAGGAAGATAATACAATTTGCGGAACAAATTAAAGTTTCATAAATTTAAGGAGAATTAGTGAAATTACCACCACCACCGGCAAGACCACGCCGCTGGATAAGCAAGGCGCCTTGCTTCGTTGTACTAACTGATTTGGAAGCGGAGAATCGAGATAAGTTCGCTGCTTGACGTGCTGCTGCCGCCCACGCCGCCATTGTATCGTATCGTCCTGATATCGGAGTCTACCGGACTGAGTGAGTGAGCTCCTAGAAATGAGTAGATGCAAGAAGACAATGGCCAAATGTCCCAAATGCCCTTTTTCAGTAGCTACTGAACGTACTGGGCCTTGGCTGCTTGGCCCAAAGGCCTTCGTAAAGCTACAGTAGCAAAATTCCAATTCATTACTAGCATTCGCTTGAAACATAAAAATTGCACGGGCGCCCTATTTGATGGTTAAATAAATTTAGTCTCTTTCTCCTCCTCTTCTCCTCCTTCGTTTTTTTCTTCTCCTTTTCTTCTTCTTTCTTCTTCGGATAACAATAATTTTATATGGTGATTGTGAATATATTTTAATATAGTTTATGATGTTTTTACAAAAAGAATTAGTTGCAAATGTCAATATTTCTGGCCCAATCCCGTGCAACGTGCATCAAGATTGAAGCCCACAATTCCCTCTTCTTTCATCACCTAGGGTTTGTCAATCGAAGCTACACTTGCAGCACAATTCTCTCACATCTTCATCATGGGTCGTATGCACAGTCGGGGGTTCGTTTCTTTTGCAATACTTCCTTTTGTCCTCAGTTTTCTTCACTATTTCTACTTAAAGTATCACTCTAATTTCTTCATTCAGTAAAGGTATATCAGCTTCAGCTCTTCCTTATAAGAGAACTCCTCCCAGTTGGCTTAAGATCTCTGCTCCAGATGTAATTCATCTACTTTTTTTCTTAAAATATAGAAACAAGTATATTGATATGTTAAACCAGATTGTATTGGGTGATACCCTTTTTTGCTTGAGCCCGACCGGGTTGGATCCGGTCCGGAGCAAGTCGGGGCCATCGAACCCGATCTGGATGCAAGGTAGAACGACGGCCACGTCTACAACCGAGGTCGAGTCATTTCGAGACCGTTACAGAGCTCGAAAGGAATCACCACCGGATGGAGAAACACACAAGGTCGGAAGCCGGGCTCGTAACGGATAACCAAGCGTCGCCGGATATCTCGCCCAAACGTGATTTTCTCAACCACTTCAGGCCATTAAGGCGTAATTACAGGGATCCACGATGTAATCAATTTACCTACCTTATTTTTACCCTTAATCAGAATGTATAAATGGGTGTCTCTCTAAATTCTTGTGGATCATAAAGCACAATTGTTCTAAGCAATATTATATTCTGCGATTATTTACTTTAACAGCAATTGTTGAGTCTTTATCTTTATTTTCCTCAACCTAAAAGCCTTTTGTATCTTTTAGTTCACGGATCCTTAAAACCCCATATAAATTCAATTGTTATCCGGATTCGAGGGTAAACACAGATTATTAAATTCAGTAAATATAAACAAAACTTCAGCTTCAGCTCCTAGAATGCTTAAGTTCAGAAAATACAAAATAAACTTCAGCTCCTAAAATGCTGAAGTTAAGCAATTACAAAACAAACTTCAGCTCCTAAAATGCTGAACTTCAGCAATTACAAAACAAAACTTCACCCAAAATATGTTGTAGTTTTATTGAACTAAAGTTTGTCATTGCACTATGAACTGAAGTTTATGTGATTGCCTTTGCAAGTCAGGCCAAACTTCACGCAAAAATATCTAAAATTTTGCTTTGATAAGGCTACACTTCAGGCAAAACATTCTGAAGTTCAAACTTCAAACATAAATTTTTGCTACTTTAGACCCGTATGTCTGAAGTTACCCAAAAAGTGGGTACGCTTGCAATTTTTTTTGTGTAAAGCGGTATAAGTTAAAATATGACCCAAAAATTGAATATAAATGCAAATTCCCCCGCTGGAAACTAATAATATTCGCTGGTCATAAATTATAATATGCACTTTATAGCCCAGAACCAATTCCAATGACTAGCCACTAAAATTAACAAACCCAACTGACATGAAAAAATAACGGGAGATGAAGGCAGGACAATTGCAAGGTAAACTATTGAGATTGGCTTTTAATTTCTTCAGAGGGAATCATTCATCATTTGATTCTTTTTTGGCTTTTATGCTATTTAGATATTGATATTTTATATATATTTACGAGAGATATAAAAATAAATTTTTTGTTATAAATATTTTTTTTGTCAACTCAAGGAAGAGACAAAAGGGACAGGTGTCGTGTACACAATTATTATACATATTTGGGACATAACATTCTTTTTATACACAATGGTATAGCATTCAAATTCAAACTTTGGAAAAGATAATGCCAAGAAATTGATTTGTGCCCTTTCCTATAGGAGTCCAAGATGTGCCCGTGCTGTAAGTGATTAAATGAATAATTAAAATTTTACAAAACACAACAATTGGGAGCACTTGTATAATCACTACTTCTCCGCTATTTCGAAATTAAAGTGATTAAATTATATCCAAACTATATACGATCACTATGCAAAAAAATATACAACTACAAATCTCACTATACAAAAGATATAAAACATATCATATTATTTATACAAAAAATATATAATTTTGATACAGCAAAGCAGAATGTCACGACCCAAATCGGAGGGTCGCGACGGGCACCCAGTGTCTTACTCAACCAAGTACCAACGTAACGTATCTTTCTTATCACATCATCATGGTTAAATGGGCCAGAAGGACCGTCATGAGATAACCAGAATAAAACATAAGGGAATACTAGACATGGGACGACCAAATATGATATAAAAACTTATACATGTGACATACGGGCCTATAAGGATGACATGATTATTTGTACACTCAAAACATAGGCCGACAAGGCCATACAAGTATCCATATACATGACATATGTCTACAAGCCTCTAAGAGTACATACACATCATAAAGGTCAAGACAAGGCCCTGCTATACCAATCAATACATGTCCAAATCATACTGACCAAATAGGCAACTCCGGAGCAAGTGGAGTGTACCAACACCTTCCGCTGAGCTGATAACCTACTAGGAGGACTGTCAACCTGTCTATCGGGACCTGCGGGCATGAAACACAATGTCCCCAGGCAAAAGGGATGTCAGTAAAAATAAAGTACCGAGTATGTAAGGCATGAAAAACTGTATATAAGAACGTGAAAGAAGCATGGAGTAAAGAACTCAACTTGTAAGTTTGAATAGCTCTGTGAATCATGAAACATTTATAAGGTCATGCAGATGCATATAAATGTCATATTATGCACAGGTATATGCGTACATAACATCATCAAGCCTTTGAGGGCATTCCATCATATCATCTCAGCCTCTGTGGGCGAAATCATCAATGTATACCAGTTGATCAGGTGGTGGTACGTATATAACGTCGTAGCCTTTCCCTATACCCCATATACATATAATATATGCATGTATAAAATCATCTGGTCATGGGTCAATGTACATGTATAAATAATTGTAATGCATAATGAAGTAAGTCAATAAGATCTTTTAGAATGTCATAAGATCAATATGCCTTCGGATAAACTTTATCAATTTACATAATTTTTGAGACCCATGAACAGACGATATAATAATAGAACACATGGAAAATCAAGAATATAGGCATCCCTAGTACTTCTAAGAATAGAGTCATTTGTGAAAGTTCTGCGTTTGCTCGTTTAGTTTGTATTATATGGATCATACCAAAAGGAAAGAAGTGATAGCCTTAACATACCTCAAGTCGTCAATTCAACTCAACAACAAGATTACGACAAGTAGCGCGCCAACCCTATAACAAATAAATACATGTGGCATTTTGTCCACGCCCTTTATCCTTCCAAACTCTATAAATCAGCAGCATAATAGGCCAACACGAGTGGACTATATAATAGTCCACTAAAAGTGAAATAAATCGAACTCACGGCTTTCGATCACCATCCCGCGAGTTCAAACTATTAGGAAACGAATTTATTAACCTTACCTGATATTTAAAAGCTTAAATACAGAAAGTGTGCTTTTTCTTAACTATAAAGTACCTTCCAAAACTCAAACTACAAAGAAAAAGAGAGGTGATATAGCGATACTTACGTCGTAGGGATCGTTCTAATATTATTGCTTCTTGATTTCGTACTCGGGATGTTAATCTTCTGTGAAACCCTTGTAGAGAGCTTAAGGGTAAGTTTATAGGGGTTCTCTGGTCGTGTTCTATGAAAATGAAGAGAAAGACGATTTAAATCTGTATATATCAACTTTTGAAAAAGTCAAAGAGGTGCTAGCTTGGCACCCTAGCATTGGCCCTTATTCCGATGTTTATATCTTTTTATTCGAATGTTGTATGAACGAACGGTTCAGAGCATTGGAAACTACATTCCAAGAACTTAAATTTGGTATATAATATGTCCCCAAAAGACCTCATATAGCATACGAAATGTATTGCTTAAAAAGCATCAGTGACACACCTACTTGTCACCTATGCAGTTTGCGCAGTCTTACAAAACTGCAAATATCTCAATACTCCAATGTCGTATAGACAAACGGTTTAATGTGTTAGAAACTAGACTCATAGATCTTCAATTTGATATGTGTATCATCCCGTAATTATAAGTATATTGGGAGAAAAGCTCCGCTACATTTGACCTAATCTTCAGCACATTTATGAATGTAACTTGTGATGACATTTGCCAACTTTTGTTCCACAACTCGCTTGACTTCAAAACATAACACACGACTGTCATAAGCCTAAAATAACTCATAACATAACCTCCTTATCATGTTAAGCACCCTATTCTTATCCCAAAAGCACATGTTATAATATTCCCAACTTGTTGACTTCGACGAAACTTATTTTCTTCAGTTTGCTTAGCTTCTAAGCCTTTCAACCCTCTTGGTACTTGTTATCCATGATCTTAAAGATTTGTAACCTCCAAGGTAACATGATTAACTTACTTTATGTACTTTCAAAGACAATCTCATTTCTGAGCTTACATCAATTGACTTACGACGTACTCTCATGTACGAAAATATGGGATGCAACATGGAATCTTTCAAATATTTTACTATACTACAGTTCATGTGCACACTAGTACAAAATGTATATATATTTTTTACACATCGTAGTCATTCAATATACAAAAAAGACTGTTACTATACAAAAAAATACAAATAGACTGGCACTATACAAAAATATATATATAATAAACT